AATGAATACATGCAAAGTTGCAAATAAAAATGTATTTGTCTATTATATTAATTTCATATGTGAAAAAATAAAAGGGCCATAATTCTGTCAAAATTGACAAATCACTAAACCTGGGTATACATGATTAGGGGGACACTTAAGGTATAAGAACCCTAATGGGCACTATCAGGAACTAAAGAATTGACATCATGGGTCAGATTATACCTTAAAGTACACCTGTATGCAAAATTTAAACAAAGTTTACCATACGGAAATCAAGTTATGGCCACTTTTCTGAACTCAAGCTAGGATGTTATGAGGGCCCTTTTTTAGAAATGAGGAACCTTTAAATAATCTGCAATGACATTCTAATGAAAAATGTTTTCCCATGAATTTTTGGTAAGAAACAAATAGTACCATTCAGCTAACAATCTATATAAGCAAAATTATGGTTTCTACATAAAATTTATGAAATCTGTATAAAAATGTTACCCTACCCCACCCATTTTTACCACATGTCTGACCATTTTTCTACTTAGGGAGCCTAATTCAAAAAATTCTTAAAATTTACCCAAATGAGTGCCTGTTTTCAAAGTTTCCCTAAATTTTTAAAAAAGTATATTGGTTGATCTTGTAAAATATGAAATACTTTTACCGTCTAGTTTTGATTATATTAAACTTTGAAAATATCAGGTACCATATTTATTACTAGATTTGGCATAATTTAGCCAATAAATACCTATAAATTAAAAATTCAAAATTAAACACTTTTTTCTTTCCATATGGGACATGAGAGATACATAAGTAATGTTAAAAGAAAAAAAGAAAGAAAAAAAAAGTTGACCCTTCTGGGGATTGAACCCATGGCCCTCATTTTCAATGTAGTTAACAGTAATTCTAGCCTATTTGAATACTCTTCAAAGCGGAGGTAATGCATTAGGGTGCTAATACCTTAATGACAAAACTTATGTGAAGGTTTGGTTGAAATCCTCTAAGAAATGTAGGAGTTGTGCATAGAAGGAATTATTTACGCCTGCAGACATTCAGTGATTTAAATATAAATTCAATAAAATCAATCACTTACTATGGAACATGAGATACAAGTGCTGGTGGATTTGACCTGAATTCATCAACCACAGATTGGACAGCAGAATTCAGACTAGAATGTACAGAAAACTGGAAAAAAAGCAAAAAATTATTATCAATATAATTGAAGCTGAGGATTGTTATTACATGTAATTGTTAGCAAAAGCATTATTCTACTATTTCTAGATAAATGATGTTGTTGTTGTTTATACATGTGTAACAATTTTTTTATGGATTCCAATATCATTAAATTTTGTGATCAAAAAGTCCAAAAATATAACAAAAGCGTGAAACAGCAGTGGTAGACTAATTATAAAATTTAAATAATAATCAATTTTATAACATAAACTATCTATATATAAAGACATGTGACCACAATATGACACATAGTTCATATGATCATTTGGTTGTACACCATTTCAAAGGTCAACTAAATATACTACATTTAATTGGCCTTATAACGAAAACAACTCCACTTGCTCTTGCTTGTTAAAGATCCTGTAACTCAATTTTTTTATGGTTTTAAATCATAAATTTGATGCTCAAATGAAGATTTATCAATATTGTAAGTTCCAAAAACATTATTTGTCAAGATAGTACCGAATTTACTTTTCATGTAAATAAAGGGAGGTAATAAGAATCTATTTTCTATAAAGTCTAAGTCAATTTTTTTCAATAAGAAATGAATGCATATATTTTAATGATTACATATAATGATGACAAATATTTGCAGTACATATTTTACATATTCTTTGATGTTTAAAAATTGTTTTAGAAGCATAATTATATACATATACAAAATTTCACTTAAATGTGGTTACAGCCTTAATTACAACATACAGGATCTTTAATTCAATATACATGAACATACATGTATATAAAATATTTTTATTCTATACTGTTTATATTCTAATTTCATTAATTTTTTTTTTTTACACCACATCCATAATAAATATAGCAAACATAAACTTAACTTGGTTAACTCTTTATGCTTTCTTATCTAATCCATAATTAATACAGTTTATACATTTTTTACTGGTATATCCAATTCTAAAACAGAACTTACTTCATTTGTATACAACTTTGCTTGTCTCTATGCTTTTATTTCTTAGGATAAATGTAGCAAATAGCCACTATACATCATAAATTATGAAAATATAAAACACGGTTTGTCAAAATAAAAATGCCAGTGTAACTAAGATTAAAAATCATGTTGAAGGACACATATAAAAGTTGCTTACAATATAGAGCAACAAAAATATGTAACAGGTTTGAACAAAAAAAATGAAAAATTACAATGTACATACATTGTTTATACTTGGACAATTAGAAACTTTGGAATTTGCATCTACCCATGGATGTCTGACAGCTGGTTGAACTGTTATACTTGGTTTATCTTGTGGAAACTGTGGTGGTAGATTTCTGTAAAAAAGAACAGTGAATGATTTATTTTACTTAGTTAGCTGTGTTTTTAGTAATATTTAACACTGTTATGGTCATTATGATGACTTTCCTAGCTTTACTGGTGTCTATCTTTTGGTGTCTATCTGTCCATCATTTTAGGCACATGCAGGCACCAGACTAGAAGCACCGACCTTCTGTAAGCTAAGCTGGATATCTTCCTCACACGAGAGTCCAAAGTCCAAGACAGGATTCAAACCCACAAGAGGTGAATGTTAGGTGATACAAAATAAGCATTCGTAACAACTATGCCAATGGTCACGGAGACCCCAAAAATATATTACATAATAATAGTTATACAAAATGCATAAGAAATGCTCTTCTGTTTTTGCTCTCTTATTGATTGAAATTTTATGCCATTTTTTTCACACATTAAAGCTGTGTGATCTCAAAACTCATATACAATGTTCATGTATTTAAAATTCTTGCTTGTCTTTACAAAGGTAAATGGGTACAGCAAATATAGTTTTACTGTGTATATCTTGAACTCTCATAATTGCACAAGACCCAGCTAAGTAACCGTCAAGGGTTCAAATCCCAATTAAGAGTTCTCTGACCATTTACAAAATCAGGTTTTAGAAATGGATAATGATTAGACCATAGAGTGATACTAGAAGTCCATAATGCATTATTTACTGCAGTGAAACATAAATATTAACTTTAGTCATAATCATATTTCCAACTTTTTTATCAAAATAAGAATTGATTCAATATATTTCTAGAGAAAAAAAAGCGAAAACAACAACAACTCAGATGCCCCTTTAGTTATCCTATGTACACTACTCAAGCCACCAATGGTTACCTAAGTAGTAGTGTTTATTTCTCACATTTAAGAATTAAAATTTGAAGCCAAAGCTATGTCACTTACATAATTAAAGTTAGAGTGTTGCCAGCTGTCTGGATATTTAATCTGTATTCAACATCTCTTAGAGTTTCTATCACACTGAAAATATAAATAATTTAGCATTATCAATATATGATATCAAATTATGTAAATTCATTTATGTTTTGTTTGAAGTAAATTGCATAATTATATAAAATTTGTTAGTTAATAAAGATATACTTTGTTTACAGAATCATCATGAAATAAATAAGATCAGCTGCATGAAAAGATCAGTAAAAGTGAACATGGCCGATACGGCCTGATAACACTACTTATTATTTTATATTCTACTCCTTTCAGGTCTGCAGGTATCACATCCCTCCTGATATGGAAATCTGACAATGTGCTCATTTGCATAAATAGCACCACATAAGAAGATGGAAGATTGACCTAATTGTAATTATTGATGATTGTTGAAATAAACTTTGAAGGACATGACATTATTTACTTTTAAGTACAGATGCAACAGTCATTACCAAATAAACAATTCAATGAAAGAATGTCCTTTCCATAATATTATATACAACTTGACAGAAATATAAGGAATAGCAGTACCAAAGGATTTCAAGTGAACACCAAACTGAGATACATGCTTGATAAATCTTTATCATTAAGATTTCTTAATTTTGCCTTCATTTGTATAACTATTGCATGATTAGTTGCCCCACATTATTATAACCTATAAAAAATATGGAAAGAGACCAAAAATGATATAGTGCTTTAAGTATTCAAAATAAATAGGGGCTTAGAATGGCCTTGCCCTTCCATCAGCGACCAGATTTATCCATCAGGCATCATAAAAGAAAGAAAGCTCATATATATACACTCGATCAGTCCTTAAGATTTGATTAAAAATTGGGTTGTTTTAAACAGTCAAAAATGATGTTACACTACCAAATCCAAGCTTAAAAAATTAATTTAATTCTGAGCAAGATGCGGTTTTTTCAGATAATGTAATACAATTCTGAAAGATTTATTTTCGGTCAAAAGAATATTTAGTTTTAAAATAAGTAATGCATGATGCGAGTCATTCTGAAATGTCAACCAGTTCAATACAGGTAAAGTTAGAAACACTGGATTGTAAATGTCTTTGCCATAAACATAATTCGCCCTCATGACACAAGTTTACGAAAATTGTATATACTCGGTTGATTGAGTCCTTTATCAGCAGTAGCAAGGACACCACCTTTTAATGAAAATATGGAATTTATTGACTAACAGATTAATAAACTAATATTTATATGCCTTTAAGGTGACAACGGAGTCAATTATCACTGAAAATACCTAAAATGAGATTTTTTGCTTAGTAGATTAATCCATCTTTTCTGAACACATTCGTGATTTAATTTTGGAAGCAGTTAGTCCAAAAAATGTGTTTTTAAACGTTTTAAAACGGTACCTGTACCATTTTTATCTGCTATTCGCATAACCTGTCAATTATCGACAACACTCCGCCCCCTGTTGAGGCATCAATGAGGGAAATCGGTAGTTCCATACATGCGTGAATTACCGGTCCATACGGGTCCATACTACTCATAATTCATGTATCGTACAAATACCGAATATCGTCTACCTTTTATTTAGCCTTTTTTTATAAAATAAGAAATTGTCGGTTAATGTTCGTAACATTATCTATGAAACATAAATAATTATAAGCATAATCGCAAGGCAAATATAGTTGCTAAAATATCCATAATGTGTGAAAATAATTTGTCTGTTCCGTTAATCTGATAGATATTACATTGAGTTTATGGACTTTTGTACGGAGACAAGGGCTTGCTTCACATTCAACCTCGTTTTCTAACAATGTCAAGTAAAACAACAACAAAAACAGACAACATATTTTATGTGAAGCCTATATGACTTGTGGTAAGGTGTCCCTGACAAATTTCTAAACCATTTTAGGTTGTCTAAGGATGATTATTTCTCTATGAATCAATAAAAAAAGATAATAAAATATATTATCAGTGAATGCTTTGAATAAATTGTTCGCCAGTAAATCGAACACAGTACTAATAAACCTGGGACAAAGTATGGAATTTATTGTATATCCCAGTAGAAACTGGATCTCTATGCCGTGGTTAGATGCATAGATGATATTCATGATAATAGAAGTCAAGAAGATCAGATCATAATGATCGAGTGATACCTTTTACTTCTTTTAAAATATGTGAAGCATTTATATCAATTTGGAGGAAAAAATATATAATATCCCTTTCTTATTTGTACATCTGCCATGGACTTTAAAAGACCGTCAGAAGCTCAGTTTTTTGTTATTTTGATTTATATTTTAACAGAATGTCATAAACGAATACACAGAGTGAAACTGGTATAATATAATAATAATGCTGATGATAATAATAATAAACTTCAAAATATCCCGCTAGCGGTGCGCAAATACGTTCCATTTCCCCCCACCGAGTGCCTCAAATTTTACCGAGAGTCACGTGACATGTGCGACCGATACTAGACGGACGGTAAATCACGTAAAGATTTGAAGAAATTTCTGTTATAAACTGATATTAATCAGCAACTTTTTAATTGGTCAGATGTCACTGGGTCATAAAATGTTGTTAGAGTATATTACCGCAACTTGTGACCCTCTCGAGTGCGATATTTGTGTATTATGCAATTATTTAGCGTGAAACGTAGGGGTCCGAGAGAGAACAGCCGATTTATGACTCTTCGTTTGATGCGGGTCGGACTAACTTTGAATCGGCATAACTTTTTAAATAATCAAGCAATTAACATGCGGTTTAAAGCACATGAAAGGGAATTCATTTACGGAGGGAACCATGTCAGGGATTTTTGTTTGCTCAATCAGCGACTTAATTATCTTTAATTACGTAATATGTATGGTGAAAAAAGTCACATAAAATGTTTGACGTTACGTAATATTTTTTTGAGAAAAGATAGAAAAAATTTGAGACACGGTTGGTTCCCCAGATAATATAAGTATGTTTATTTTCCAAAAGTTTGATGACAAAAAAATAAAAAATGACTTTGATATGACGATTTAAAATTTTAGGATTTTTATTAAAAATCAATCATTTACAAAGGCATTTTTTTCAAATATGTTATTTTTTATGATGATCAACGACATTTAATGCACAAAGATTAAATAAATAACAATAATTACTTTAATAAGTTGGTTTAAATGACATTTATGTGAGTACCACGGAAAGTGTCTGTTGTCACCTTAACTTACCTTAATATGTAAATTGTTATTAATATGATAATACAGTCACAGAAAAATTTTCAGTCTGACAGGGACTCACTCCTAGTCCAATATATCAGACATTACAGGCTTGTTATAGTTCATGTCTTTCAAGTCTGAAGCAAAAATATCTCAAAGCGGCAACAAATTTATAGGGCTAACTTGCTCCCTGGTTAGATGACCATCAGAATACCATAATGTGGCTATGAGCTCTCCTATCCCTAACATATTGTCTACCATTGTTAGTAGAAGATTTCTTTTGTGTGACAATACAAATAAGCTACCTAAAAAGTCTTTAAAATGAATGAATAATAAAGATTCTTTAGTTATACTTCAAGTTTCCTCTTCTCAAAGACTCAATTTGCTTAGTCCGTTGCATTTGAAGCTCTGTTGAGCCAGGCAATTTGCTTTTCTTCGCTCCTTGGCCAAACCAAGGCATCTTCTTTACTTTGTTTTGAAGTAAAATTACTAAAAGGTATGTTGGTGAGTAATTTCACTTCCTGGTTTTTTGACCGGAAACCTCAAAACGTCATCAAAAGATGTGCACATCTTTAATTTCCGGTGATGTACGCAACTTCCCGAAATTTTGCAGCAGGTGCATACAAAGAAATGTAGTTTACGAGTAATTTTGGCACTGACCGGTCATAATTCATCAACATTTTCAAAGTATACAGTTTAAGTTTATCATGTTTTGTTCACGGTTTCGTTTATGATTATTGAAGTGCTTAGTTACTGATTAGAGGCGCAAAAAGTCATTGACCTATTTTCCGTGTCACATATTTTCGCGTCTATATTGGGAATAATAAAATATGTTAGTTTAATGAATGGGCTAATATTTAAATAATACAGTTTTTTCTGTTCAATTCGATTTTCAAATGGTATTTATCTTTTATTTTGAAATTGTTACATGATAATATCTTGTGACATGTAAAAAAATAGCAAAATCTTCATGAAAAAAATGTTGGCAAAATGTTCAGCCTGACCAGCTCTCAAACCTAGAAAACTTAGAATGTGACAGTGTTTCACTTCTGGGCATTTCGGCTTTACTCTTTCCACCTTCTAGACGTCACAGCCTGCTACCACTTTTAATATGCTACCATAGAGCGGTTAATTCAGTTACAGTATGTGGGACATGACCTATGTTGCAGAGCAACAGATAAGCTCTGAAAGTGAATTGGGTATTACTCCATCATTTCCTTTGGAATTGGGTATTGGCTCCATTTAATTGGGTATTCCAAAACTAGATACCCTATGATTTCAAGATCAATTGGGTATTCAATTATGAAGATATGAATTTTATGGTTTCAAATTCAATATCAATAAAATTAAATTTAGCTATCTTAACTGTTTTAAAAAGAAAATAGGATTAACAGAGATCGGGAAAGAATTTTTGCAGATGAGACTATGTCTCCACCTGTTGGAAAACTAATGAGACATTTTTAAAAGTTATGAGACATTGTTCAAAACTAATGAGACATGTTTTTTTAATGATAATCGATTATAAAGTACGGATACTGGTCGGAGACCATCAACCGGACAAGTTTGGAATATTTTTCTGTATAGATTTCATAATTTTTAACCTAGAGACCAAACAAAAAATTTGTCACAGTTCAGCTAGGTTCTTCTCCTAATTAATTAACTAGTTTGTTTATTTCTGATTGTATTGACACTTATATCTGAGGCTTGACAAGGAAGTAGGTAGGTTAATTTCACCAACAATTGCAGACTTGATAATTTGGTCCTATTTGAATGAACATCATGGTTTAATACATAATTTTTGTTGTTGTTATTTTTTTGTGTCAAGCAGTTTGTTTATTTGCTGAAGATAAATAAGATAAAAAGAATCATAATTAAGAATCCAACATTTCATAAGTACCTTTCCATAACACATCAAGTAATATATGACGTAATGTGTAATGTCCATTGTTTTATTTGCACTGAATGGCTCCTACGTAGCATTCATTGTTGTCTTTTTTTTACAACTCTACATCAAAGGGACTCACAGCATACACAAGTCATGCAGTTCAGATATCTGATTGGCTAGTGACCTGTCAATTATTGTAGTGATGTAATAAACATCACTTCAGCTCATATTTCACTTTGTTATTGTTAAGTTTTCAAAGGCAGGTTATGATGACCTAGATTTACCGCAGATTATTTTTTTCAGTGCAACTATAAATAGTTACACTTTTTTGCTGTGGATAAAGTTTGAAGTCACCAAACGTGATTTTAAACACAAAAAGAAAAGGTTTGGATTATTTTTGTTAAGGAAGGATGATACTAAAAAAAAATTAATGATTTTTTTAATCTAAAATGTTGTCCGATGGAAACGGCAAACAATGGAAGAATGGAAGCTAATGCTTTAATAACTACAAATGCATGGAAAATCTAAACTTTTGAAAATTATTTTGGACATTTAAAAACTGACTGCCTTGCTTTTCAATCGACAGAATATTAAATGATATTTCAAACAATTGACGGTGCTAACTCATAGCTACTGTACCACGTGGTGTTGGCAGATAACTGGTTTAAACTGGTTTAATGCAGATAATCAGTCCTGCCTTCTGTACCTGTAGGTGGAGCAAAGAAATTTGTCACTTTGAAATTATTTGGTGCCGCTAATTGATTGACAAACAGTCAGACTTTACTGCTTTCGCTGAATTTCTTAGGCCAAATTTGCACTTTAGAAATTACTTGTCTCCTCATTGTTTTTTCATGCAACCTAATGTCGCATCTGCAGACTTATCAATGCGACAAAAATCATTTTAATGCGACTATGTCGCAGGTCGCGGGACTTTCCCGATCTCTGGATTAACAATTTACTAGAACTTTTCACAATTGTTTTATTTTTTATATAAAATGCTCCTGTTGAATTTCATAATATTTTTAACAAGTTCATTTTCTGACTGATTTTTGATTATTTGCGACTGTTTTGTTTTAAATCATTTTCACTTTGTACGACGCCATATTGCTTTTCAAAGCGTCTATTGGTACAGCTTGGACCTACTTATTGACAGTCTCCGCAAAATCAATGGTCTCTGCCGGTCTGTAAAGACCGTCAACCTGAGTAGACAAATCGACGGTCTCATGCTTAGTCTGTCTTTGGAGACCGGGGACCGTCGAAGACCGGAGACCGTTGATTAGTTAGCATTGATTCACGAATATTCGGATATCATGCATATCAATATAATTTGTCCAAAACTACGAGTGTACGACAGATAAATTTTGCGGTGATAAAAATGACAATACGCACGGGTTTTTAAGACAATTTGCGTATTTTATTTTTTTTAATGGGTTTTGATACGCATTCTTAAAAAATCAATTGCGTATTTTATAAAATTAATTGCGTAAATATGCAAATACGCACCTTATCTGTTGCTCTGTGTTGTTTTAGCTTGGTTGGTAAACTGATTAGATTATCTTGAGTGATCTGATAAAAAGACACAAATTAAACCAGGGAAGAGTTCCAGAAAATATAAGAAAATATGCATAGAAAATATAAAATACGCATTAGTTCAAGAATTCATGCATCACAGTTATTAGCTAAAGAGACTTCAGCGAACAGGTTTTATAGTACTGCTAGGCCTGTTGGCTGAAGCAAATCCCATATTGGCCGCCATTGCTGCCCTAATTATCACGTGACTAGCGAGAATTTAGGTTCGGATACCTTTGCATGACATTTGGTGACGTGCCCCAAATGCTATTTTTAATTGAAAACATGGATTTGCAATTATGAATGACGGTGTATTTATTCAATAAAAGACATTGTACCAAAAACATGTTGGATTTATATTGTTTTGAGTGATGATTCATGAATTAGGCCATCCTTAAAAAAATGTTTGTTTGCAGTAACGCGACCGACTCACAAAATTTGCCCCTACTCAAAAGTTTTTTTCATGGTCTGGAAAAAAAAAATTTTTTTTTGCATCAAAAAATTATGCCTTGTGCTTTGTTTTTGTTCTTTTAAAGGTTAATAGAAGAAATAAAATGTAGGTATTATTTAAATAGAATTCATTTATCAATTTATTAATTATCAAAGCATAAATTGTCTAGCATTTTGAAATTCCATGTTTATTTGGGAGTACAGTTCAATAAAAAAAAAAAAAATCGACCTACCTACCCTTCTTGAAAAATCTGGGTCGGGTTACTGCAAACAAACATTTTTTTAAGGATGGCCTTATTTGTTTGTTTTTATTTAAAATCGTACACTTACTTTAAATAGTGTATGGTCCGTTACTAAAAATTGAAGCTAGAATTCCCAAAACTTGAAGTCCTGCGAGATTTCATTTGAAGGCAGACTCCATATTGGTAAACATTCTGATTCTCTACATATTTCCCTAGCAAATAGTTGAGTACACAGTGTCATTGAAGTTTCATTTAAAGACAAAACATGAATTTATTCAAAATTGATTTGTTTATCAAATGGTATTTTTATTTGACCCAAATTTGATTAATAAGGGTGATTTTAATAGGAAATTTTAATTTTCAAGTGCGCTTCAGAATTTGTGTGGTGGGGGCAATTTCAAGAGTTGTAGGATTATTATTTATTTTCAATCATCATAGTGTTACAAATTACTTTCAATCAGTTGTCATAGTCATAGTGTCGACAAACTGTCATATTCAGCGAGATGTCTTTCGACCAAATGTCATGCACTGTAGCACCTCCTACTACATTTTTTTGGTGATTTCAACCAAACTTTTATAATGCCTGTTATTATTATTTTTAGGAATCATTAAATACAGTGGAGATAAATTATTCAGCGAGAAGTAGACAGGACATGTTAGAGATATGCCTTCAGTAGCACAGGCAGAGTATGGCATTAAGGATGTGTGGATGACCAATCTTGAAGAAGAGTTCCGGAAAATCAGACAAATTATTCAACGATATAAATATGTTGCAATGGTAGTTATAGCCAATGTTTATTTTAACAAATGCATCAGACAAGTTTTCCCTCAAAATATTGTCTTTTATGTCTGTTTTTTATCTTGACTATTCAAAAAAGGGAGAGCTATTGTACTCACCCATGCATGGGCAGCTGCCACATTTTGGTTAAGATTTTGCTTGTAAGTTGGTATCTCCAAAACTACTGAAGGGAATGGAATTATGGGTTGAAACTTTACACAATTATTTGAGAGCATAATCATAACTCTAGCATGGATTTTGAACTTAGAAAATTCTTCATTATCCGGGCTCTTTTTTTACTATCAAGCTCTAAGAAAAGTCAAGCATGTTGTCCTACTGACAGCTAATGTTTATTTCTATACTGTACCAAAGTTTCTTTAAATTTTACTGATAAAACTGATGTCTTTACAAAATAATATAGTGATGTCATCAGCCAAGTTGTTTTTTAAAATACTGAACTGATATTATTTCTTATAGGATACAGAGTTCCCAGGTGTGGTTGCACGACCTATTGGAGAGTTTCGCAGCACTGCAGATTATCAGTACCAGCTTCTCAGGTGTAATGTTGACCTTTTAAAAATAATACAGATTGGCTTCACATTTATGGATGAGAGTGGAAACACGCCATCTCCTATATCAACTTGGCAGTTCAACTTCAAATTTAATCTTACGTAAGGAATTTTTAAATAATCATATTCTATTGCATTTTATTACAAGTTTCAGGCTGATATTGAAGATGTTTAAGTATTTATCAGATTTGATAAGGTGTGACATCTTTCATCTATTGCTTTAATTCCAGAAGATGTCAGAATTTGAATAATATTTCAAAAGATTTTACTTTGAGTGGACAAAATATGTTTTAATGATTTTTTTTGTCAAGGACAATTGTCAACTATATGGGAAAATTTCTTGCTTTTCCCTTTTATTAGGAATGAAATTAGAGTTTTCGTTTTTAGAGCCACTTTCAGAGAAAAGTGTTGACAAATGGGTTTGCATTTGATTAAAGTTTTGGATGCAACTTTATATCTAGTTCACCCCTGAAGGTATTTACCTAAACATCATGCAAGCTCTGTGATCAAATACAAGCTCATTGATTAAAACTATTAACATGAATCTTAGTTGAATTATTTCCCCTTGTTGAATAGAAAATTTCTGTGAGGCTTAAAAATCATGTTTTAAGTAAATAAGATAATGAAATACATTACATATATCCAACAAAATCTGTTAATCATTGCATCAAGTCAGTTGTTATGAATTATTATCCCCCACTGAAAAGGCGGGGAATATAGAAATAGGCTCCGGCCGTCCGACATTTTTGTCCGGAGCATATCTCAAAAAGTATTTGAGATATCAACTCGAAACTTCATGGGTGGATGGATCTCATTGAGGAGGAATGAAGAATGATAACTCTATCCTGCATAATTTTTGAGTTATTGCCCTTTGTTATTTTTCAAAATTAATTTTTGTCCAGAGCATAACTCAAAAAGCCTTTGAGATATCAACATGAAACTTCATAGGTGCATAGATCTCACTCAGGAGGTGTGCAGTGCACAAGAATGATAACTCTACCTTTCATAATTTTTGAGTTATTGCCCTTTGTTATTTTTCATACTTAATTTTTCACCTGTGTGGAGCATAACTCAAAAAGTGTTTGAGATGTCAACATGATATGTCCTAGGTGGATAGATCTTATTGAGGGGGAATGCTGTGCGCAAAAATGATAACTCTTTGCTTTATAATATTTGAGTTATTGCCCTTTGTTCTTTTTCATACTATTTTGTCCGGAGCTTATCTCAAAAAGTATTTGAGGTATCAACTTGAAACTTCATAGGTGGATGGATCTCATTGAGGAGGAATGCAGTGCACAAGCAGTGTTCGAAATTAGCAGTAGTCCTATAGACCCCGACTACTAAATTTCTTCTCGGGCTACCAACTTTTCACAGTAACAAGCCCGACCAGGCTACTGTATTTTCAGAGGCAATATATAAACAACTGTTTTGAACAAATAAATCGTGCTAGTGAAATGTCTTTTGGGCTAGTGAATATTCCAATCTGGTAGTCCGACCAGCCTAGTGGATTCAAATCTGAATTTCTTACACTGCACAAGAATGATAATTCTACCCTGCATAATTTTTGAGTTATTGCCCTTTGTTATTTTCACAATTAATTTTTGTTCAGAGCATAACTCAAAAAGCCTTTGAGATATCAACATGAAACTTCATAGGTGCATAGATCTCACTCAGGAGGTGTGCAGTGCACAAGAATGATATCTCTACCTTTCATAATTTTTGAGTTATTGCCCTTTGTTATTTTTCATACTTAATTTTTCACCTGAGTGGAGCATAACTCAAAAGTGTTTGAGTTGTCAACATGAAATGTCATCTAAAGGTGGATAGATCTTATTGAGGAGGAATGCTGTGCGCAAGAATGATAACTCTTCCCTATAAAATATTTGACTTATTGCCCTTTGTTCTTTTTCATACTATTTTGTCCGGAGCTTTTCTCAAAAAAGTATCTAAGGTATCAACTTGAAACTTCATAGGTGGATAGATTTTACTGAGGAGGGGTGCAGAATATGATAACCTACTGTACCCTGCATTATTTTTCAGTTATTGCCCTTTGTTATTTTCAGCCATCAGTATTCATATAGGTTTCAAATCTGTAATCACTTCAGCCATCAGTTTTCATTACCAAAAGACCTCTTAAAATGGAATTATTCTGCTCTACTACATATACATTCTTCCAATGAGCAAACACATTCGGCGGGGGATGGCCATGTTGACATGGCTCTTGTTTTATCATGAAACCGGTTTTATTATTGGATTATGAATTATATTACAGAGAAGACATGTATGCTCAAGAGTCCATAGATCTCCTAACAAATTCTGGCATACAATTCAAGAAACATGAGGATGAAGGCATAGATATATTCACATTTGCTGAATGTTTGATGACATCGGGGATTGTATTGTCTGATCAGGTCTTTTGGCTCTCATTCCATAGGTATTGCAGACTGTACCTTATTTTAAATATATTCATTTAAGCTGGATTGCAAAACAAGTTCTTGCAACTTACATTAATCACTTTTGATTCCGCTTCTTGGAACCAACCTGTACTGGTGTCGTATGAAGAAACATTTTCATGACTCAAGTAGGACTCAAACCTATGATCCCTGGGTTGAGAGGCAGACACCTTAACCACTAAACCACCACAAAAAAAAAAAACCTTCATAAATTTATATATTAAGGGTCATAATTAAAGGTCACTGAGTGTTAACAAAGCAAGTGGTGCTCTTGTTTAAATTCGAGCAAGTTGTCGGCAATCAAAAACTGAAAAGTATTCAAAAGCTGAGATTCTAAGTCAGCAGCTTGAGTCTTGTTTAATTTCATTGTTAAAAATTGACTATTATACATCCTTCCTGCTGCATATATTAATGGAAGCCTTTATTTTTAGCTCACCTGTCACAAAGTGACAGGGTGAGCTTTTGTGATCGCTTTTCGTCCGGAGTCCGTCCGTCTGTCGTCCGTCCGTAAACTTTTACTTTAAATGACATCTCCTCATAAACCACTAAGCCAATTTCATCCAAACTTCACAGGAATGTTCCTTTGGTGGTCACCTTTAAAAATTGTTCAAAGAATTTAATTCCATGCAGAACTCTGGTTGCCATGGCAACCGAAAGAAAAAACTTTAAATATCTTCTTTTAAAAAACCATAAGAGCTAGAGCTTAGATATTTGGCATGAAACATCTTCTAGTGAGTGTCTACCAAGTTTGTTCAAATAAAAGCCCTGGGGTCAAAATTGGCCCCGCCCCAGGGGGTCATTGATTTTCCCTACATGCAAATAGTAAAAACTTAAAGAATCTTCTTTTAAAGAACCCAAAGAGCTAGAGCTAAGATATTGAGCATCAAACATGTTCTAATGGGTGTCTACCAAGTTTGTTCAAATAAAAGCCCTGGGGTCAAAATTAGCCCCGCCCCAGGGGGTCATTGATTTTCCCTATATGCATATAGTAAAAACTTAGAAAATCTTCTTTTAAAGAACTCAAAGAGCTATGGCTAAGATATTGAGCATCAAACATGTTCTAATAGGTGTCTACAAAGTTTGTTCAAATAAAAGCCCTGGGGTCAAAATTGGCCCCGCCCCAGGGGGTCATTGATTTTCCCTATATGCATATAGTAAAAACTTAGAAAATCTTCTTTTAAAGAAACAAAAGAGTTAGAGCTAAGATATTTAGCATGAAACATGTTCTAATAAGTGTCTACCAAGTTTGTTGAAATAAAAGCCCTGGGGTCAAAATTGGCCCCGCCCCGGGGGGTCATTGATTTTCCCTATATGCATATAGCAAAAACTTAAAAATCTTCTTTTAAAGAACTCAAAGAGCTATGGCTAAGATATTGAGCATCAAACATGTTCTAATAGGTGTCTACCAAGTTTGTTAAAATAAAAGCCCTGGGGTCAAAATTGGCCCTGCCCCGGGGGTCATTGATTTTCCCTATATGCATATAGTAAAAACTTAAAAAATCTTCTTTTAAAGAACTCAAAGAGCTATGGCTAAGATATTGAGCATCAAACATGTTCTATTAGGTGTTTACCAAGTTTGTTCAAATAAAAGTCCTGGGGTCAAAATTGGCCCCGCCCCAGGGGGTCATTGATTTTTAGCTCACCTTGCACAAAGTGCAGGTGAGCTTTTAGGATGGCCAACCAAATGGCGTCCGTCGTCTGTCGTTTGTCCACATTTTAAATATTCTAAGGACATCTTCTATGATACCGCAAGGCCAATGTTAATGAAACTTGGCAGGAATACTCTTTGTATGAAGCTCTATCAAGATTGTTCAAAGAATTCCATTTCATGCAGAACTCTGGTTGCCATGGCAACCGAAAGAAAAATCTTTAAATATCTTCTTTTAAAGAACCTTAAGAGCTAGAGCTTAGATATTTGGCATGAAACATCTTCTAATGAGTGTCAACCAAGTTTGTTCAAATAAAAGCCCTAGGGTCAAAATTGGCCCCGCCCCAGGGGGTCATTGATTTTCCCTATATGCATATAGTAAAAACTTAAAAAATCTTCTTTTAAAGAACCCAAAGAGCTAGAGCTAAGATATTTGGCATGAAACATCTTCTAGTGAGTGTCTACCAAGTTTGTTCAAATAAAAGCCCTGGGGTCAAAATTAGCCCCGGCCCGGGGGGTCATTGATTTTCCCTATATGCATATAGTAAAAACTTAAAAAATCTTCTTTTAAAGAACTGTAAAAGCTAGAGCTAAGATATTTGGCATGAAACATCTTCTAGTTTCTAGAGTGTCTACCAAGTTTGTTCAAATAAAAGCCCTGGGGTCAAAATTAGCCCCGGCCCGGGGGGTCATTGATTTTCCCTATATGCATATAGTAAAAACTTAAAAAAATCTTCTTTTAAAGAACTGTAAAAGCTAGAGCTTAGATATTTGGCATGAAACATCTTCTAGTGAATGTCTACCAAGTTTGTTCAAATAAAAGCCCTGGGGTCAAATTGGTCCCGCCCCAGGGGGTCATTGATTTTCCCAATATGCATATAGTAAAAAACTTAAAAAATCTTCTTTTAAAGAACCCAAAGAGCTAGAGCTAAGATATTTAGCATGAAATATCTCCTAATGAGTGTCTACCAAGTTTGTTCAAATAAAAGCCCTGAGGTCAAAATTGGCCCTGCCCCAGGGGGTCATAGATTTTCCCTATATGCATATAGTAAAAACTTAAAAAATCTTCTTTTAAAGAACCCAAAGAGCTAGAGCTAAGATATTTGACATGAAATATCTTCTAGTGAGTGTCTACCAAGTTTGTTCAAATTAAGCCCTGGGGTAAAAATTGGCCCCGTCCTTCGGGTTCATTGATTTTCCCTATATGCATATAGTAATAATTTAAAAATCTTCTTTTAAAGAACTCAAAGAGCTAGAGCTAAGATATTTAGCATGAAACATGTTCTTATGGGTGTCTACCAAGTTTGTTCAAATAAAAGCCCTGGGGTCAAAATTGGCCCTGCCCCGAGGGTCATTGATTTTCCTGATATTTGTTAAGCGAAAACTTAAAAAATCTTCTTTGAAAAAACCCAAATAGCTAGAGTTTAGATATTAAGCATGAAACATCTTCTAGTGAGTGTCTACAAAGTTTGTTCAAATAAAAGCCCGGGGGTCAAAACTGGCCCTGCCCCAGGGGTGTCATTGTTTTTAACTATATGTGTATAGTAAAAACTTAAAAATCTTCTTTTAAAAAACCCAATGAGCTAGAACTTAGATGTTTAGCATGAAACATCTTCTTATGGGTGTCTACCAAGTCTGTTCAAATAAAAGCCCTTGGGTAAAAATTGGCACGTCCCGGGGGTCATTGATTTTCCTGTTATGTGTATAGCAAAAACTTAAAAAATCTTCTTTGAAAAAAACCCAAATAGCTAGAGTTAAGATATTAAGCATGAAACATCTTTTAGTGAGTGTCTACAAAGTTTGTTCAAATAAAAGCCCTGGGGTCAAAATTGGCCCCGCCCCGGGGGTCATTGATTTTCTTTATATGTGTATAGCAAAAACTTAAAATCTTCTTTGAAAAAACCCAAATAGCTAGAGTTTAGATATTAAGCATGAAACATCTTCTAGTAAGTGTCTACAAAGTTTGTTCAAATAAAAGCCCTGGGGTCAAAACTGGCCCGGCCCCAGGGGTGTCATTGTTTTTAACTATATGTGTATAGTAAAAACTTTAAAAAAAATCTTCTTTTAAAAAGCCCAATGAGCTAGAGCTTAGATGTTTAGCATGAAACATCTTCTTATGGGTGTCTACCAAGTTTGTGCAAATAAAAGCCCTTGGGTTAAATTAAGTTGGGGGTTGGGGGGGCCTTTAGACAGGTGAGCGACCTCAGGGCCATCATGGCCCTCTTGTTAGTCCCCTACCGGTTTAACCGGAGGGGACTTTAGGTTTACCCTCCGTCCGTCTGTCTGTCTGTCTGTCCGTCTGTCTGTCTGTCTGTCTGTCTGTCAGTCCGTCAGTCCGTCCGTCCACAAAACTGGATCCCGCGATAACGCAAAAAGTACTGAAAATATTTTTATGAAACTTGATATATGGATAGATGGCAGTATGGAGATTATGCACGTCTTTTTTTTTTCTTCCTATGTTGAAAATTCTGGTTGCTATGGCAACAAATAGTCTGAAAATATGGCAAATTTAACACATAAACTGGATCCAGTGATAACTCAAAAAGTACTGAAAATATTTTTATGAAACTTGAAATATGGGTAGATGGCAGTCTGGAGATTATGCACATCTTTTTCTTTTCTTCCTATGTTGAAAATTCTGGTTGCTATGGCAACAAATAGCCTGAATTTCAAGATTTCTGATTTAAATTTTTCAGCTTTTTCACTATATGTTCTTTATTTCTTAAGGTGTTTACTTCAAACTTTAAATATAAGTTTCTGGTCATCAACCACATCATATGTGACAAGGTTTATAACTCTAGCACAAAAAATATCAGTATTACCTCCCTTGAACTTAGATTTTTTAGGGGAAAAAATGTTGTCTTTTTTAAATAACTTCTTTATTTCCTAATGTATCTACTTCAAACTTCATATATATGTTTCTTATTATCACTCGACATTTTTGAGAAGGTTAAATACTCTAGCAAGACTATTTCCAGAATTATGTCCCCCTTGAACTTAGATTTTTTTCGAGAAACTGGTATTTTCACTCCAACTTCTTCATTCCTTATAGGATTTACTTTAAAATCCCACATCGTAATAATATGACAAGGTTGTATAAACATAATTTCCTTACTAAGCATGGAAACTTAACACATTACTGTGATATAGACAAACTTATTTTATTATGTTTTGTGGTCGATATTTTCAAATACAGACTTCATCCTCAAATTCATTATAAATGGCAATACACAGGAGTGTATGACAATTAAAGAACTTTTTGAGGGACCGGTAGGGGACTACTGTATTGCCCGCAATACTATCAAATGCTTGTCTTTTTAATGTTGCAAATAAAAATGTGTTCGTACTTATTATTTGTAAAATGACTGACTTGTTTGTTTCAGTGGCTATGATTTTGGTTACCTGTTAAAGGTGCTCACTGATTGTGCACTACCTGAGGAGGAGGAAGAGTTCTTTGCCATGATAAAATTATATTTCCACAATATCTATGATGTGAAGTACCTGATGAAGAGCTGTAAGAACTTGAAGGGTGGTCTCCAGGAAGTTGCTGAGCAACTAGAAGTAGGTTTCTATAGTTGTTATCTTGTAATATTTATATTTATGATTGTATAGGGATAAAAATGGTATTTTAGATATTGTCTTATAGATTTTGTTTGGGTAATAATAAATAATTGATCTGAAAGGAGTTATAAAAACAAAACCACCGGAATAATGCGATAGTCATGTTTTTGCCAAAATAGCAGGCAATATTTCCAACTTCTAGTATTGAGGAAATATTTTTTTGAAATCGTACCATCTGTATTAGTTCTATAAGATCACAGTGTATAGCCGGATGGAAGGTAAAAACTCTTGCTTCTTTCCACTCTCACTTTTTGGGGCGGGGAGCAGGTGGAGTGGGGGTCTTATTGAAGTTGATGCATTGTGAACAAAAGTGTCTACAATTTAATTTGTTGATAGAAACACACATGCAACAAGTATATAAACAAACTATATAATATAAATTATGTATTAATATATATATATATGTTAATTTGATATATATATAAATGTATTATGATTTCAGATTGAAAAGAATAGGACCCCAGCACCAAGCTGGAAGTGACAGTCTACTAACTGGAGCAGCTTTCTTTAAGATGAGAGAAGTATGAACTGATTCTGTTTTGGTTCATTAATTATTCATTTAAACACCACTGTTTTTAGCTCGACTATACGAAGTATATGGAGAGCTGTCCTACTCGCCCCGGCGTCGGCGTCTGCGTCCATATTTCAGATTAAAGTTTTGGTGCAGTAAAATATTTTTCACTATAACTTTGTCATTTCTTAAGGTATCAACTTCAAACTTCAAATATATGTTCCTTATCATCAACCACATCTTATGTGACAAGGTTCATAACTCTAGCACCAACATTTTCAGATTTATCTCCCCTTGAACTTAGAATTTTCCTTAAAAAATACTATTTTTTACTGTTACTTCTTTATTTCTTAAGGGATCACCCTCATACTTCAAATATATGTACCTTATCATCATCCCCATCTTATGTGACAAGGTTCATAACTCTTGCACCAATATTTTCAGATTTATCTCCCCTTGAACTTAGAATTTTCCTTAAAAAACATTATTTTTTACTGTAACTTATTTATTTCTAAAGGTATCAACTTCATACTTCAAATATATATACCTTATCATCATCCATATCTTATATGACAAGGTTCATAACTCTAGCACCAATATTGCAAGAATTATCTACCCATCAACTTAGATTTTTTTTACTAGAAAAATGTTATTTTTTACTATAACTTTTTTAGTTTTAAAGGTATCTATCTCAAACTTCAAATACTTATTTCTTATCATTAATTACATTTTATGTGACAATGTTCATAACTCTTGAATCAATATTTACAGATTTATCTCTCTTTGAACTTAGGATTTTCTTTAAGAAATATTATAACTTATTTACTTTTTAAGGTATCTACTTCAAACTTCAAATATATATTTCTTATCATAACACACATGTTGTGTGACAAGGTTCATAACTCTAGCGTGACTATTTCTATAATTATTTTCCCCTTGATCTTGGAATTTATGTTAACAAATGTTATTTTTTTACTATAACTTAATACATTATTATACATAATTGATTTTTCTTTCATAGTTTTGTCCTCCTTACTGCGTCCAGTATTTTATTAGTCGAGCTTGGCTGTCTCCTGTGACAGCTCTTGTTCCTAATCTAATAAGTTGAGGTATCAATGTGAAATGTAATTTGAGTGGCAAAGTTAAAGTTAACAAAATAAAGCATTGATAATCCATGTTTTGCTTAGTTGGTGGTTCTACTAGGGAGCCAGGCTGTGCCTGAAATAATGTATAGAGGGGCATTTGTGATCTTCCTCCACCAGTAAAAGTAATCTATATGACTTATACTGTGTTGTTGCGACATAAAATCTAATAAAAAAATAACAACAAAACTTGTATTTGAAATAGATCTCTGAGCATGAAACTTGCATCTTTTTGCAACCTGGAATTACTGTACAATTTTAACATTACAACAATGTAGATACATGAAGATCAGCCAACTACATGATACAATTTTTCAAATGGTACAGGGTTGGTCAGGATATGTACCATATGAAGCAAATACATTGTGAACCATTTAATTACAAGTTATTTGCCAAACAGTTTACACGTTT